ACATGATGCAGATCGAGGCTCATCTCCTTGATCTGCTAAGGATGAACCAGAGAAGTAGCAATAATAGCATTGCTACATTGTAATTCTCACGGTAACTGCAGACACTGTTCTGCAAGTGTATGCATAAAAAAAACACACATTAAAATGTGCACATTTTTATCTGTGCATACGAACACATGAAAAAAACACGATGAATTGAGCCTGACACCAGAGCAGCAAGATCTTCTGTAACCGATAACCTTGAGGGTCCACTCCCAACGCACTCCTGTATACACTGCTTTTTTCCACCGCACCTCAAGTCATTCTGGTACCACACATTGCACTGCGTTTCAGTGTATTCCAGTGCCATGCAAATGAATGACAACGCAATGCATCTGCCACACTAACGCACGGTAGGTGTGTTGCATGTTAGTGTGCGTCAATTATACAATAGCGTGCAATTAACACAATGCATAGGTGTGAATGGGCCCTAATTATTCTTACCCAATGCACTTTGCACATCATTATTTTGTTTGCACCACTTTGAATAACATGTAAAAAAATAAACCATTTTTTCCTTCCATGCATTACCTTTTTTTAAAAACGTATCTCTAAACTCTGGTGTTATAAACTCATGTAGAGATAAGTCCTTTACAAGATAATAATTGCCAAAACCATCAATCGTATTCTTTAGTTTTCCTGGTAACTGGCCACATTCTGGTAACAGAAAAGAAACCTGTGGTATTCAAACATATATGTTAGGTTCAATATACAAAAATAACACTGTACAAATATATATGTAGTACAGTGTTAATATAATAAATATTATAAAATTAAAATATAATGCCAGTCAAAATCTCTGGTGGGTTGTATTGCTGTCTGAGGTCTAGTTGCAGAAATGTTGCCTCATTTTCGGCCCCATTGATAATTTTGTCACCAAGAGAGGTGAGACAGGGAGCAAAAACAAGCTCATGGGAGTTCTAGACAGACCCTAATCTACTAACAAAGATTGTCAAAGACATGGCAATAAAAAAAACCAAAGACTTCCTTTTACTTTCTAACCAGGTAAACATTGTCACAGGGAGAGGAACTCAAGACCTCCTTGTAACAAGGCTGGAAATGCACTGGAATCCAGCATTGGATATTCCAGTAGCATACATGGGGAAAGCTAAGCAATTAGGACTGGCCAAGTACCTAGGACCTAACACACTACTAAAAGGCCAGATCAAAAAAAAAATCTGTAACTTTTTTTCCCCCCAATTTACAATGCTGGTCTTTGAACGCAGAGCACAATGCTTCAGTCTGCAACGTGCACATTTCACTGGCCGGGTAACATCGTAGAAAGATCTGTGCTGTGGCTCCTAGCCCCACTGACCTGTACCTCTGTCTCTGCATTAAAATTTCCTTGTTTGTGGTGGATTTGGGAACTAATTGCTATTAAAAGCCTGCGCCTCAAAATATATTCAGTTAGCTACATGAGGTGTTACCTACATTTTTACTTTCCTACTTCTACCCATGGCTTACGTAGTACATTATTGTTGTGGAACAAATATTCTGTTTTCCTGTTTTGGCATAAGAAGCTGCTGCTCAATCTTGCTATAGAAAACTTGATGTAAATATTAAATGATCAACAAATCACACAGCTTTGAAGACTACTAAAAACATATGTTTTAGCATATAAGTGAGTGTTAAAATTGCAGCCTGAACACCCTGACATCCACTGTCCAGGGTACTGACATAGGCACACATGGAATATATGCAGAAACTCTATTACTCAGCAATAATGCCTTAAATATAAGAGAACACTAGGTAGCCTAATAAAGAGAAGACTTGCTGTGAAAGTTATTTACAGTAAACCTGAAGGGGTTTCTCTTATTGTAAAATTCACTTATCTAAGTCGTTGTAGCTGTTCCTCTCCATGAGCTCTTTCTAAGTAAATAGGAAAATGAGAGGCTGAGATCTCCATCAGTTCTAGTTATTTCAAAATGATTTAGTATTTTGAAATATAAACAGCGGGCACAGAAAAGAAAAAGGGCAGAGGTTTTTACATACAGTATCATAATTGCACCAACAGGGTAGAGCAGGGCTGAACAAAAAGACACACACAAAGTATACAGATAAAGATACAAAGGTCATGAATGTGTGCCAAAAGTACTCTGAACAAGAGCATGGTCTAGTATCCTCCCTGGTAGACAAAGTTGGGATACAAATAAAACAGACCCTAAGAGCAGGACTAGTGAGGGATTATTAAAGAGAAAACATGAAGGGAGGCATAGAAGGGGAGGGGGGACACTGCACCACCTGGCAGCGGAGGAGAATCAGTAGTCACATTTTAAAGGCTAACTAAAGGCCTGTTAAGAGCCTCAGGGGGCTGGATCGGACGAGAAAGAGGTATTCTCAGGTAATTATGAGTAAAAAGGTAAGCAAATCTGAAAAATCACCACTGGTCCATTACTGGAGCTACGAATTATATTCAGCAAACACTGAAGCTGTGCTGGAGTTTAAAATTCCCTCAGTTTACCATGCGTGGAGTTCTGTGCAATGCGCTGCACCAAAGAATCCAAAAAACAACCCACAAGGCCATTGACAGGGTATTGGTTTTTATTAGCCCCCGTATGTGATAGCAATAAAAGTTTAGTGGAAAAAAATTCCCCCCCCCCCATTTAAAGTTACACCATAAAAAAAGAATAAAAAAATCTGGGTAATAATAAATGTTTCCTAACATAATGTAAAAAAAAAACTTTTTTTCCCCAAAATTTTCTGTAATTTGTCCTAATTATTGTCAAAAATAAAAACCCGCAGTGGTGATTAAATACCAACAAAAGAAAGTGCTATCTGTCCCCAAAAAATGGTATAAAATTCATTTCAGTACAGCGTTGCATGACGGAATAAACGTCAGTCAAAGTACCACAGCGCTGAACACTGAAAAATGGCCTGGCCAGGAAGGGGGTCTAAACACCTGGTCTTGAAGAGGTTAAAATGGTCTTACAGGTGCGTTCCATGCGTTTTTATGTGTTCCAGTGCATTCCAGACCAGACAAAATAGGATAACTGTATTTTACCACACTGGCTGAAATCAGGTCGCCGATAGTACACACAGAAAAGAATTGTTTTCAATGTGCCCTGTTCACACAACGGGTGCGGTGGGCTGTGTGCTTTGAAAAATGCAACGTGCTGCGCTTTTTTGCAGCTCACTGGATGCCACCGCACAAGCGATCACTGTGATTGGCTGTCACAGTGAACCTATGTTCAGGAGCCCAACCTACCAGCTCCCAATTGTTACTCTGAGACCAGAAGCTTCCATCACAAAAATAGTACTGCCATAAAAATATATGTGGCAGTACGACATAAGGTCCACTCTGCTGCCACGTATAGGTGGGAAGGAGATCATTAAACTGGTCATACATTGTGTGTTTTTTCCTGTTCAATCAAGCAGTTCAGAGCCTTATAGAAATTTAAAACAAAGTGCAATTTTAAAAAGGAGACATTCTTGTGACCTAAAAAAAAAACCAAACCCAGCATAGTGAAGTACATTTTAATACCAGTACTGCTGTCCTTGCAAGTGCCACTAGAATCTTTAGCTTTCATTGCGTCTGAGTGTGCCAGTTGTCTGGTCATCCGAAGTGAAGTAAAAGCGGCCTGTCTCTTCGTTGGGGCATGATAGCACGTTTTTGACCCTAAGGACCCATTCACACTGGACATTCGAGAATAACATTGAGAAATTCAAGAAACTACTGGATGAGTTTCTTCTCTCGCAGAATCTACAGGGATACGGGAAGTTGTAAAACCAAAAAAATACACACACTCTCACATACACAGGTTGAACTGGATGGACATTGGTCTTTATTCAACCTTACATACTACGTTACTATGATTCCTGCGGCAAGAACTTACAGATTCCTGTAACAGGAATGCAGGTGGGTCCATTCAGATGCGGCTGCTGTACCCATTGAAGTAAATGACATCTGTAAACGTCAGAGTGCATCTAATCACACATGGTCCAAATACACCTGGTTTGGAATAGATGATTGACCCTGGACATATCTATCCTGCATCCAGGTACAATAATCTATTCGAAAGATGCACTGATACCGGTATCAGTGCCAATACTGGGCATTTTCACGAGTACTAGTAAAAATGCCCCGATACTAAACGCGGATACTGGCGCTTTAAGTTTTTTAATGGAAGCGGCTGCCTGAAGTCCTGCGCTTGCTGGGGACCTTGGCAGGCTTCCAGTGAACCACGACACCTGCTTACAGTCCCAGCCTCACATCTCCTCCTCCTTCCAGGAAACCATGCAGCGCTGTTTACAGCGTTTCTGCCCCCCACACCCTGCCAGAGACCCCCATACAGCAGGGATGTCCAAACTCCGGCCCTCCAGCTGTGGTGAAACTACAAATCCCATGAAGCATCTCTCTCCCCGGGTCATGTCTGTGGCTGTGAGAATATTGCAAAGCCTCATGGGATTCGTAGTTCCACCACAGCTGGAGGGCCGCAGTTTGGACATCCCTGCCATACAGCCTATTAGAGACCCTGGAGCAACATAGAGTATGTAGCTTCATATTATTCTGAATTGCTGTATAATGTATTTCTGGGATTTGTAGTCCTCTATAGCTTGAAGTCAGTGGCAGAACTACCAGGGTTGCAGCTGTGACCAGGCCCTGGAGCTTCACCACTGTCCTAAAATCATTAGTCTATATTGATTTAGAAAAACAACTGTCACATGACATACACAAAAAAAAAAAAAAGTATCGGTAATTGGTATTGGCAAGTACTTAAAGGAAAAGTATGGATACTCGTACTGGGACTTGAGAAAATGGTATCAGTGCATCCCTACTCTATTCCAAACCACATGTAGTCTTACCATGTATAATTACATGTGGACTGCCCCTTACAGGATGTGGCCGCTGTCACCTCATCATTTACTTCTATGGGTACAGTGACCACAACTGAACGGGGGACACCTGGGATTCCTGCCGCAGGAATACATAGCAGACATCACAACTCTCCCGGACGCTCCGGGAGTCTCCCGCTATTAGATAGCAGCTCCCGGCGGCCCGGGAGAGAAACCTTTCCCTGTGATCTGTTTTTTTTTTTTTTCTGACATGGGGGCCGCTGGCCACCGTCAGTCAGAGAGAAAAAAAAAACAGCATAGGAATGCATTGCTAGATTGCCATTTCACTTTGCAATAGCCAATAGCAGACTAGCTATTGCAACTGCTCACTGCTGCTGTCAATCAGCAGAGGGGGACCTGAAGTTCTCCATCAGGTCCTCTTCTAGTGATTGACGGCAGCAGAGGGCGGGTGCAATAGCCAGCATGCTATTGGATATTGCAAATTGAAATAGCCAATAGCAATCTAGCTTTCATTCCTATGCTGGTTTTTTTGTGTTTTTGTTTTTATTCTGACGGCACCAGCTGTCAGAATACTAAAAAAAAACAGCAGATAGCAAGGGCAGCATTAGCTTCTTTGCCATTTGCCATCTGCCATCATTTCTGGGGGGGGGGCTCAGAGGGCACCTCCCTGAAA